CCTGTTTGAAGCAGCACAGGCCCTTCCTTCCTTCCTTCCTTCCTCCACAGGCCATTTCATCCCCTCGGCCCACAATCACAGCACAATCCACGACTGCTATTTCTGAGGCTCGTTTGAGGCTGAAGAGGATAGCACCCAGGACTGCCCTTGTTCCCTGACCTTAAACATGACCCATGGCCTCAGCCTCATTGGCGAGTGGTGTGGAGGGACTTCCCACATCGGTTTGGAAAGGGCTGGAAGGGGTTGCCCCTGAAGCTAGCCTGGTCCTGGGGCAGAACTCCAGGGCAAGGCAAGGCTTCCAGGACCAGTCTCACCGACGAAGAGCCAGATGCACAGGGTTTGGGGAGTCCCAAAGGGAAGACTCATCTTGTTTCCATACACCCATCCCATCATTGTACATTCCTAAAACTTCAACATTTGATAAACAAATTGCAGGTAAAGTCAGTCTGTTGAGCTTTTTTGCAGGGTTGTGATGTTAAGCCGTGGCTCTAGGTTTATAGACTTTGTTACCTACGGCTGTCCCCCACTACAGGCCTTCCTTATCTTTGTGCGTTTTATTTACTGTCATTCATGTGTTTTTTACACAGTCTCCTGCATTTCCCCTTATTTATTCAACAGTACCTCTCGACAGTCCCTCCACGTCCGCTCTTGTGGCTCCAAGTCTTTTTTTCCCAATATTTCTATTGTGGTAGGACACGTAATGTAAAACTCACCATCGTAAACATTTTTAAGCCTGTTTCACGGAGCCTGAAGCACAGTCACAGTCACAGTCACACTGTGCAACCGTCAGCACGTTCCGTCTCTAGAATTCACTCATCTTTCCAAACTGATCCTCTGTCCCATGGAATACTAACCCTCCCATTCCCTCCCAGCCCCCTCGGGACTTCACGGGAGTGGGATCCTATGGCACCTTTTGTGCCTGCCTGATTTCACTCCACAGCGGCTCCTGGAGGTTGCTCCGCATCGTAGGGGCTGCCAGAACGTCCTTCCTCTTGGGAGCCATGCGATACCCCGCCATACATGTGTAGGCCACGCTCTGTTACCCCGTTTGTCCCCCCGGGCACACTGGGGTGTGTCCGCCTGTTGGCTGGTGCGGACCATGCCGCCGTGAGCATAGCCTCACAAGTACCACTTGGAGACCCTGTTTCCAGTCCTTCTGACTGTAGACCCAGAAGTGGAATTGTTGGGCCATGTGGTCATTTTATGTGGTTATTCAAGTTTCCATTTTGGGGGGGGAACCTCCTTACTGTTTCTTACTGTCTTCCGCAGTGGCGGTACCAGTTTGCGTTCCCGTTGGTCGGGACAGAGGGTTCCAGTTCCTCCCTGTCTTGGCCAATACTTACCTTCTGGGCTGGTTTTTGTTTCATTGAAGATTTTATTTATTTTTTTCTAAGTAGGACTCGAACTCATAACCCTGAGATCAGGAGTCGCACCCTGCACTGACCGAGCCAGCCGAGCCCCCGTTTTGTCTTGTTAGTTTTTGGCTGGAGCCATCCGAATGGGCGTGAGCTGGTACTTCCCTGCGTTTCCCCAGTGAGTGGTGTGGAGCATCTTTTCATGTGCTTAGGGGCAGTTTGCCTGTCTTCAGGGAGATGTCCGTTCAGGTTGTTGCCTTGAACTGGGTTTTTGGATGTTATTTTTCTTTTGAGTATTAGGAGTTCTCCATTTATTCTGGATATTAAGCCCTCATTAGTTACATGATTTGCAAACATTTTTCTCCCATTCTGGGGAAATCTCCCCTGTGGATAGTGCCCTTTGATGCCCAGAAGTTTCTAATTTGCATGAAGTCCAATTGGTTAATTTTTTTCTTCCATTGTTAATGCCTTAATTTTTTTTTTATTGCTGTGTATCTTTTATGAAAGGAAAAAATGTTTTTTTCTCATAGTAAAAACCAGTCGGTGCTCAGTATAAACAAAAACAACTTTAAATACAGAAAGCCATGAAGCAGTAAGTCAGAATCACCCAGATGCCCACCGCCTGGGGGTGCTTGCTGATGCTGTCTTGGGGCTGGTGCTGGTGGCGGGGCCCTCTTCCCTGTGTGCCATCCGTGCTTGCCTGATAGCCAGCCCCTGACCCGGGAATGTTCCCTACAATGACCCACAGCCCACTGAGTGGTCTAGTCTGATGCAGATTAGGAGCCTCATTATAAGTAAGTTAGTTGACTCGTTGTTTACAACATAAGCCATAGATTCACTGCGAGGATGAGAAGAGCCTGATGGGGGGGCTGCCTGTGTGAACTGCTGCTGGCCCAGGGCCAGGCTGTGAGACATTCGGGGCCAGAACGGGGCCCCTCCTCAGCCGGGGTGCTTCTCCGTGCCCAGTCATACTTACGTAGGTTATTTATGGACTAAGAACAAAACTGTAGAGTTTGAGTATATTAAAGGCTAAAAGATGGTAGTGTTTGGTGCTAATCCACCAAATAAGGAAAAAATCAGAGCGACTTTAAATGGTTCCTGGTTAAGAGAAGACAAGCTTTCTTTGCACTTAGAGAACCACATTCGGGACAGGTAACAAACATCCGGTGTGCCTGCTCCGCCTCTGTTCCGGGCAGACTCACCCAAGGGGAGCATCAAGGGCTGGTTGTAGGCTGACTGGGGCTCACTCTGCTGTGACCTCTGACCCCAGGACAGTGCCTCTACGTCTGTCAGGTCAGAGAACACAGGAAACACGTGCCCGTGTGTCACAGAGAGGCACCTGTCAGCACCTGGACTTCCAACGAAGCACGATCTTTCTAAGCCCCTTCTGTTCACCAGCTTGAATTTAGACTAAGAAGAAACTTCGCACGTGTGACTTCAGTCCCTGGGGAGAGATGGGAATATGTGGTAGGGGGGTGTGTCTGTGTCCTACCAGGGCCCTGTATGCGAGTGCCTCCTACAGCAGAGTACCATCCAGATCCAGAAGGATGGAGCCGTGGGTCTATATGATCACGTGGATGAATCTCAAAGCTTGCTGTGTGATTCCATTTATAGAACACTCGAGAAAATGCGAACTAATTTATAGTGACAGAAAGCAGATGAGTGGCTGGAGGGGAGGGATGAGCTGGGGAGAAGGGTGAGACGGAGCAGGCATGAGCTCTGGGGGTTCAATGGAGGTGTTCCCGCTCTGACCGTGGTGATGGGGTCGTGGGTACACACGCACGTCCACATGCCTCAGACTGTCCCCGTGAAGTCGGTGCAGTTGCTTATGCGCCACTTCTACCTCCCACAGAGGTTCAGAAGAACGGGGACATTCAACAACGGAGCCGGGGAGCCTGCGTGGGGCTTGACTTCCAGGGTGAGGCTTGAATCCAGACGCTGATGTGACCCCTCCGGGTCTCGGGTCCCTCAGCTGTCGGGGGTCATGCTGCCTCTCCCAAGGCCACGTGCAGCGGGCCTGGGGGAAAGGACGTGGGTAGCACACTGCTCCCAGCACCTTGCACTTGGTGGTGAGAGCCCTTTAAAGGGCAGCTCCTAGTAAAAGGATATTACCTGTACGTATCCTGTGATCCTAAAAATAATCGACCATGTCTTTTCTTGCAATTCAACTGAAGTCGTATGATGTGACTAGTAAAGAGCATCCGTTTCCCCCAAACTACTGTAGGCCCTGGCATTTGCCAGTGTACATGTCCTCCTTGCTGGCTGTTCTTGGCATTCTCTGTGCACAAGTGACAGCGTGGTTCCTGATGTGTGGTGGTGCCTGTGCCCACGGATGGGACGCAGGGTCTCTGCCCCGTCTCCACAGAGCTTGGGAGTCTTGCTCTGAAAACACAGCTGGAAACCAGGCTCTCAAGCACATGACATTTTCCAGCACGTTTTCCCTTTGCTGCTTTCTCAGCCTTTGACGAAACTTTTTTTTGTTTTGTTTTGTTTGTTTTTTTGATATGGTTTCACCTGCATCTCTAGAACTGCTCAGCCTTTTACATCCTCTGGAAGGGATGGTCTGGAAAACTTCCATGGCCCGTGCTTATGATCTAGCTTTACAGACAGGCTGTGATGTGGTGAGATTATAACCATTCCGGTTCTCCGGACGGCCGTGATGCCCTCAAAGGGCGCTGGCCGACCTCTGGCAGCAGCCGTGTAGGAGACGAGCACTTCTAACTCTGATGGTTTCACAGCACAGTGACTCCCTTCATCCCTGGGCTACAGCTTCATGGGGTTTTCCTGCGCCCCCGGCTGGGTAGTCTTTTCTGTACGGGGGCCTTGAGAGCGCTGGGGGCTCAGGAAGGACTCATGAAGGTGGCAGTGACCAGAATGTCATTTTTTTTTCTCTGTCACTTGCCTGTTTCAGCACCTTTCACATAAAGCCCCACACTGCCCTTCGTCTGCCGACCTTTGTACCGTGAGCATGGGTTACTTTCTCCATAAAAAAAACAAAATGGGGACGCCTGGGTGGCTCAGTTGGTTAAGCAGCTGCCTTCGGCTCGGGTCATGATCCCGGCGTCCTGGGATCGAGTCCCACATCGGGCTCCTTGCTCATCAGGGAGCCTGCTTCTCCCTCTGCCTCTGCCTGCCATTCTGTCTGCCTGTGCTTGCTCTCTCTCCCTCTCTCTCTCTGACAAATAAATAAATAAAATCTTTAAAAAAAAAAAAAAATGAAGTGAGCGTGAACAAAAACTGCACAGGTGGGTGAAGATCGCTTCCAGACTTCAGCCTCATGAACTTTTAGGTTCATTTAATGAAAATGCATCAGGTCCCAGGTGCATAGTTGAGCATGCACAAGGAATACAGACTCGGAAGGTTCAGACAGGGAGAAGTCAGAGAGCACCTCAAGATGTGCTCTGTCTGAGACTGCTCAGATGCCCGCTGATCCTGACAGAGTTCCCAGTATGTCTGAAAAGTGGACACTCTGGCTTTGGGCCCCTTTATGGTCGTGCATCTGTTGTCTCGTTAGGCTGGACCCATGTCTCAGTTTTGTCTTCTGAAGCCGCACAGGGTAAGTCTGTTCCCTTCCCATGGGACAGCCCTCCTGCTGACTCGAATCTCTTCTCCAACCAGAGGATCCAACCTCCTCCCCTTCCACAGGTGCTGTGGGGGAACAGACCCTGCGAACCTGGAGAAGCTGGAGGAGAGGCAAGGACCCCACTTGGTCTTAACAAGTGGATTAAGACACATGCCCGTCGAACGGTTCTACGGAGAGGAGGTGAAGGCCGGAGAGAGGGGTACAGATCTTGAACTTTTTCAGAAACCTCAAACTGTCAGGTCACACTTAACTGAACACGGGTATGATAACTTGTATTTTACCCTCTACACCCTGCAAGGGGCTGTAAGATGGTCCAAGTCCAAAACATGGACCTCAGAACAGAGAGGTGAAGGGGAATGATCTCGCTGGAAGGGATTAGCATCTTGTGGGACCAATGAGCGTGGCCAGCATCCTTCCTAGAGCTGATGTCCCAGGACTGCACTGGGCACAGGGGCCAGGTGTGGTGGGTCTATAGCTGTAGGCCTGTGTGTTCACAGATTAGTACCACCTTTGCTGTCCACCTCATCTTTTTTGCCTTGTATCCAGCTCTGAGGTCTCTGTCCTGTATCATTGGTTCTTTTTGATCTAGGTGGATAGTTTGACATCGCAATCCAGCTCTGATTTCCCACCCATCTTTCCAGCTTATTTGTTCATCTTTCTGAATCTAGATTCCGCTCTGAGTCGCTGGCAGCATGGGCCAGCTCTGCCAGTGGCGTGGGGGACTGCCCCTGGGGAGGAGATAAACAGACTCACATACTGGGGGATCTGGCAGGGGGCTAGGGGGTTCACTGACCCTGGCAGGTGGCCATCAGGAGCTAACCTCCACTGATTAATATGTGACAAATGTTTTCCATCCTGGAGTGGGATGGGAAGCACAGTGCCACCTCCATCTATCCCAGTGATGATGGCCTGGTATGGAGGTGCAGGCCCAGCTCCCCCTGGGTCCTCCTGTTGTAAGGGGAGGGGAGTCCAAGTGTATCTGTGCTGCTCTGTGCCATCTTCGTCTGCGTTGGTGCCCAGGGGGAAGGTCAGCTCCCTGCCTGGCCCTACTAAACCATGAGGGCAGGATTGGTTTTTCCACTGGTGTCTGGCCTAAGTAGTGCAGGTGTCTCTAAAAAGATGTTCCTGCTGTTGGGTCGCTGTGAGGTTAGGGACAGTGCTCGAGGCCCTTCTTGCTCTGTGTACCAGTCGTAAATGGGGAGTGGGTTCACAAGACCTCCCTCAGGTTGGGTCATTCACTGGAAGAACCTGCGGAGCTCATGGAAAGGTGTATTCACCGTTAAGGTTCGTCGCAGCAAAGGATTCAGATGACAAGTCAAGGGAAGAGACGCAGAGGGAAGAGTTGTCCCCTCCCGGGAGGTCTGGATAGCACCAACTCCAGCTACCGCTGATGGGTGACAGCCGGTAGAGTGCGCCCCCACGTCTTCATGGGTGACAGCAGGTCAAGTGCTCCCCGACATCTTTGCGTCCACAGTCTCTCCTCAGGCTTTGTCATCAAACAGGTTGACTCCCCACATGGCTGACCTTAGTCCCTAGCCCCCAATCACATTGTTAGCCCAAAGCTCCCAGTAAACAAAGCCCCTCCCAGGAGTTGCGTGCAGGAGGAGCCTCTTAGGGCAGAGGCCTGGTCCTTTGCCAGGGTTCTTCGGCGGCTCTTCCTGGGGCTTTTCTCCTGTACCTGTTGGCTCTTCAGGGTCGGAGGTAGTGCCCTCTGGGACGGGGGACAAGCTCGTCCTTCTGCGGCTCCTCGAGTAGCCAGGTCCTTGGACTGTCCTTTCTGAGCCTTCCTGGGCCTGTTGGTTGTGTCCCATCTCTGGTTCTGTTGTGAGTGGGCAGATCGGTAATGGCGCAGCCCCCTCCGGGTGGAACCAGAAGGGAAACTCGGGGTGGCCCTGTAGGTGGTGACGGCACATCCTCTCATCTTCGGGCTAGCGTCCCAGCACTAGGTCAGACACCGTGTCTTCCCTGTGGTGTCCCTAGAGCTTCTCCAAGTACCTGGGACAGAATTGGGGCTCAGCCTGTGTGTCAGACAGGACTGGCCCAAGGATGGGCTCCTCTGGCATTTCTGGAATTGACCTTGACTGTGGTCGAGGACAGCCTTCAGTGAAAGTTGTAAGGGAACCACAAATCCAATGTCCAGCCTGCTTCTCCCCATGCACAAGGGCAGCCGCCTGCCCCGAGCCAGTGGGCCTGCCACTGGGCCTGCTGGCCAACCTTGCCAGGGTGCCATCCCGGCACCTGCTGACATTCGCAGTTGCCAATCTGCCCTGCCTCCCTTTGCCCTCCCGCCACCCTTTCAGGCAGCCTTTCCCCATCTTCATCTGTGGCTCTGCCATGGTCTCACTCCTCTGTGGGGTTACCAATGGTGCTCTTAGGGCCTGGAAAGCTCTTGCATGGGCCCCCTTTCAGCTGCCCCATGAACCCTTCCTGTCCCTGCTGTGATCTCCGGTGTGCCCGTCCTTTCCACGTAGAGGGGGACAGAGATGGTGCACAGTGTCCAGCACATGTCAGCTGCACAGAGCGGCCTGTTTTTGATGTGGTTATTTGCATTAAATGTGCACAGCAAAAGGTTTTCCTCAGAAGCTGGGACGTCTTTAGCATTTTTGTAAGTTGTAGCATACATTCAAATTGAACCTTGTGTTTTGGTTTTGCTGAGCACCTTTCCTTCCTCCTCCACATTTCCTGCCTATGAGGGTCTGTGTCCCTGCCCGAGCCTGGTCTGTCAGCCCTCCCTTTTCAGTGCAGTGACGAAAGATCTCCAGTGACCTCGCCAGCCACCGCCGTCCTCTGGGCCCTTCGAAGCAGCACTCAAAGTGGCATTCATCCCCCTATCACACAGAGAGGCTGAGACTCGGCAGAGGTGGCCTTGTAAAACCTAAGTTGTGGAGGATGGAAGTGTGAGGGGTGGGGCAGGGACTTGGACCACGAAGGGAGGTCTGAGACTTCAGCAAGCACCGTCCATCAGAGTCAGAATGCAAGAGGACACTCTAGCTGGACCACAATCTTTAATGTAGCTCTGTGTTACCTTTCCAGGGTCCTGAGTGCAGTGTCCCGTCTCCATGAAGCTGATGTGACAGCATCCAGGTGAAAGGGCCCCCCCCAGCCCTGTCCACGGGCAGGATGACCAAAACCCGGCTCTTCCGCCTGTGGCTGGTCTTGGGCTCTGTCTTCATGGTCTTCCTGATCATCGTGTACTGGGACAACGTGGGCACTGCCCACTTCTACCTGCACACTTCCTTCCCCAGGCCGCACCCCCTGGCGCCGCTGCTCACCCCCACGCACGGGGCGGAGAAGGAGTTCACATCTGACGTGGACGCGTTTTTGCAGAAGCTGCTTGGTGGCAGCCTGAAGCAGAACGCCCCTTCGGGTAAAAGGACGGAGCAGCCCTCCGTGCCGACCTCCAACAGGCCCGTGCTGAGCAACGCAGAGGAGAGCGTGAGGGGCTACGACTGGTCCACCCGCGATGCCCAGCAGGGCCCAGACCCGGGCGGGCAGCAGGCCGAGAGGCGGAGTGTGCTCAGGGGGCTCTGCGCCAATGCCAGCTTCGTGTTCCCCACCAAGGAGCGCTCCTTCGACGACATTCCCAACTACGAGCTCAACCACCTCATCGTGGACGACCGCCACGGGGTCATCTACTGCTACGTGCCCAAGGTGGCCTGCACCAACTGGAAGCGCGTGATGATCGTGCTGAGCGAGAGCCTCCTGGACCGTGGCGCTCCCTACCGCGACCCCCTGGACATCCCCCGGGAGTACGTCCACAACTCCAGCACCCACCTAACTTTCAACAAATTCTGGCGCCGCTACGGCAAGTTCTCCCGCCACCTGATGAAGATCAAGCTGAAGAAGTACACCAAGTTCCTGTTCGTGCGGGACCCCTTCGTGCGCCTCATCTCAGCCTTCCGCAGCAAGTTCCAGCTGGAGAACGAGGAGTTCTACCGCAAGTTCGCGGTGCCCATGCTCAAGATGTATGCCAACCGCAGCGGCCTGCCCACGTCCGTCAGCGAGGCCTTCAGCGCGGGCCTCAAGGTGTCCTTCGCCAACTTCATCCAGTATCTGCTGGACCCGCGCACCGAGAAGCTGGCACCCTTCAACGAGCACTGGAGGCAGGTGCACCGCCTCTGCCACCCCTGCCAGATCGACTACGACTTTGTGGGGAAGCTGGAGACCCTGGACCAGGATGCCGCCCAGCTCCTGCGGCTCCTCAAGGTGGACAATCTCCTGCACTTCCCCCCGAGCTACCGGAACAGAACTGCTAGCAGCTGGGAGGAGGACTGGTTCGCCACCATCCCCCTGGCCTGGAGGCAGCAGCTTTACAAACTCTACGAGGCCGACTTTGTCCTCTTTGGCTACCCCAAGCCCGAAAACCTACTTAGAGACTGAAGGCGTCGGGGGCAGTCCCGGACCTCAAAGCCAGCTGGGCGGGTGGGGCTTCTTCCAACCCGGACCAAGGGTCCTGCCGCACCACGGCCTTCCTCCCAAGGATGGGCGAGGGGTTGCCATGTGTATTTTTTTACGGCTTTGTTTCCCTCCCAGCCTGGCCTGTGGTGCAACTCCACAGCGCTCCCGTTGACCAGGCAGCTGGAGACACCTGGATCGACGGCTCCCACACTCCAGTTTTTCAAATCACCTGCGGTTTTGCAGTCTGGACGTACTGTTTATTCCACTGCCTGTATTCCTTGAGTACTGTGTTAATATTGTTTTTTTAAGATTAATATATTTCAGATATTTAATATGAAAAGTGGAGGAGAGGATGGAGTAAAGGTCACATCTGCTTCTGCTGCCTGCTTCCGTGGTTATTCTGGTAGAGCGGCAGGTGCTCGGGAAGGGGCTTCGAGGGATTGGACCTCAGAAGCTCGGGTGAGGGCAGGGAGTTCTCATGGTCATCTTCAGCAAAAAGGAGGAACCTATGCTTGAAATCAAGCCTCACCTGTATTTTTTTTTTAAGATTTTATTTATTTATTTGACAGAGATCACAAGTAGGCAGAGAGGCAGTCAGAGAGAGAGGAGGAAGCAGGCTCCCTGCTGAGCAGAGAGCCCCGGGGCTTAATCCCAGGACCCTGGGATCATGACCTGAGCTGAAGGCAGAAGCTCAACCCACTGAGCCACCCAGGTGCCCCCTCACCTGTATTTTTAAAAGGGTAGCAGACAGATGCTTCATGAGCCAAAGCTCTCTGACCATGTGTTATCAGTGAGAAGGGGAAGCAATTAGAAAGGGTTTTGTCCTTGAGACCATACCTCTGGTCGCAGTCACGGAAGCAGGATGTTAGCTGTTCCCATGAGGCTATAAATCATGGACGTGCTGTCACAAGGACAGGATGAGTAGGGGCCTGACCTGAGAATCCGTTCCCTGCCGTCATCAAGGTGAGGTTTGGGTGGGATTGTTGTCAGAGACTTAGCTGGTCGGCCTCAGCTCCCATGTGGAGAGTCCCCTTGAGGACGTGACTGACCGTGGGATCCTCATGTTTGGTAGTCCCGACTCCATAGCAGTGTCCGTGTGGGCCTGTCTAGGAAGGCCCTTTCTGCACATCTGGTTCAGACCGATCTGCAGTTGTGGCTGGGACCCTGTAGTTGGCAGGAAACGTGCAGTCATTCCATGGCGTGTGGGCCTCAGGTGTGACCTCGTCTCCTTAGTCTGTAGCATCTGGCCCTCAGGGCCCAAATTTCTGGGGAGCTGGCCGCTCACCGTGCTGTCCTCCTGCCAGCTCTCCTTAGTGTGTGGTGTCCTTGCTCTGATGGCTTCACGATGGCACTGAGATTTGAGTCGTGGCCTCTGGGTGCCCGCCTCAGACTCGGGCTCCCCGGGGCCCAAAACCACCCGCTTTCCTTTCTGTAAGTTCCCCTTTTTATAAAACAGTTGGCAGCAAAGATGCTCCTACTCGAGGAGTCCAATTTTAGAGTCACTGAAGAGCCATCACCATGTGGAGGAATCCTGGGACGTAGCTGTCCATGGCACCACAAGCACTGGGCTTCAGGTCAGTAGGCAGATGGGGTAGCTCTGCCTTCGGGGAATCTTGTGACCCTGCTGTGTGAGACGAGAGTGGGGACCCCCAGCCTCAGGCCAGTGGGCCGAAGGCCTTCAAGGACAGAGCGTCAGAGAGCGAGGTGAGGTAAAGGCGGGTGTCCTGAGGAAGGTGGTGCATGAACCCGGCCTGAAGGATGGGGGGTGGCTCGGATGTTCATGGTAGAGTGTATGACGTCAGCACAGGAGCAGGATGTATCCAAGACGGAGGTACTAACCACTGGTGTCCATTGCCAAGCACCCTCATGTGTCCTTCCCCGTCCCCTTGGTCCTGTTCTCTGGTGTGGACGCTGCATGGCAGAGGTCAGGTGGGGCCAGGACTTGGAGCTGGTGGGCTTCACCGCCACCGCTGGGATGTGGATGGGCTGTGAGTGGAGTCTGGTGGCCTTGACTGTCAGGCCCAGGAGTTGAGGTCTCACTTAGACAGCAGCAAGCCGTGGTGGAAGTTTGGGGATGGAGGAATTTGGATTCTTTGGAATCAGTGTGGCATCGGGTTGAGTCATGGAGGTGGCCGAGAATCCAGTCAGCAGGCGACGGCTGCTGCCCTACTCAGAAGGGGCCTGTGCAGGGACAGTGGGGAGACGGACAGACAGGAGGAGGGATGGTATTCTGGAGAGGTTCCCTCCCAAGCTGTTGCTGTTCTTGTGTATGACGAAAGAGAAGCAGGGAGAAGTCAGGGGAAAGTCAGAAGAACACAACACAGATCTTTCTTCTGACCTGTAACATCCCCCCGCCGATACGTGGTCAAATACGCGTAACATAGAATTTATCTTCTTAACCACTTAAGAAGTTTCAGGGGCATTAAAGGCATTCACACCAGTGTACCGCCCCCATGGCCATCAGGCTCTGGAACTTTCTCATCTCTCCCCTGGGTGAAACCCTGCGCCCATTCCTCCCTCCCCCCGCCTGGTGCCCACCCTCCTGCTCACTGTGTCTGTGACCCTGGCGACTCCAGGGACCTCACAGAGGTGGGATCCTGCAGTGTCTGTCCCTTGGGCTCTGGCTTCTGTCACCCAGCATGCTGTCCTCAAGGTCCGTCCCTGCGGTGGCTGGTGGCCGCGCGTCCTTGCTTGTTAAGGCCCAGGGTGTTCCTCAGGGTGGATGGGCCACCCCATGGCGTGTGTCCGTTCTCCCACCAGGGAACACTTGACTGCTTCTACCTCTTGGCTGCTGTGAGCAGTGTGGCCATGCTCACAGCTGTGCACAGATCTCTGTGAGTCATGGCTTCCATTTCCTTCGGGTGAGTACCCAGAAGTGGGCTGCTGAGTCGTAGTTGACCTGGTCAGCATTGGCAAACTGCATCGGGGTGGGGAGACATGCAGATGACGTGTCACGTGGCTAGAGGGGAGCTGGGAGGCTGTCCTGGGGAAGAAGGACAGTATGGGGGACAGTTTCCAATCTCCTTTACGTGTGTTAAGGACACTGTAGATTTCAGTCCTGGGCTGTAATTTTGAGGAACTGGTTTTCATCAGAATGGGCCAGCACGTTGAAATCGCAGTTCTAGAATGCATCTTTAGCCGCCATCATCACCGTGGCTCTTGGCATCTGTCTCTCTTGGTAGTTTCTTACTGAAATGTGTTTGTTTCAGGAATGTTCAGACAAACGTCAAAATTCACGGGGTGCTGGCTCACGAAGGGCAGGGCCCAGCTCTGCATTCCTTTATCCGCGGTTCTGCAGGTAGTTACACTGTAGGTCAGCTTCCCTGGGTGTTGGGGGGCATGTGTGCAGGGACTGTGGGAGCGGCTTCCCGCGGCGGCCACACACCTGTCCAGATTCCTGTGCTGCCAGCTGGGCCCGACCTCAGGGCCACCTGGGGGACGACGCAGGATGTGATGGCAGAGAAGGTCCTCGTCAACCGGCCCCCACCTTGTCCCTCTCTCGGGTGCCTCTTTCCCTGACCCACAGGATTGTGTCCTGTAAAGAAATTATTTTTCTTGTGCTAAGACACTATAAAAATTTTTAAATTGATACTGCAGTTAAGTTAGCTCATTTAACCAAACGATTCCGTAAACCTGATTCTTCGTTTCTGCTTACCTCTCATCTCCAGCCATTGCCAACACATTTGCACACTGTCCTAATAACGCCCTGGTGTGTGGTACAGGATCCTCTCTGCGTTGTCATGGAGCCCCCAGCACGGCCACCAGTGCACTTTGTTTACAGTCGGGGAGAGGGATGTGGGAGAGACTTACCTGATGCCTGAGGCACGCACGTGCGCGTATGAGAGACCCCGTCAATCCTCGTTCCTCTAGAAATGGTATGTGTCTTCATGCATCGATGCAGAGTTCCCACTTATGGCTTCTGGTGCACACCTAGGGGGCTTTGTGTTGCTTTTGCCTTCTTTTGAAGGATGTTCCACTAATAGAAGAACTTTAAGTCTGTAAGTCAGATTTTTCACTAATAATAAGTAATAATAATTACTTTCCACTGGGGCGCCTGGGTGGCTCAGTAGGTTAAAGCCTCTGCCTTCGTCTCAGGTCATGATCCCAGGGTCCTGGGATCGAGCCCCACATCGGGCTCTCTGCCCAGCGGGGAGCCTGCTTCCCTTCCTTTCTCTCTGCCTGCCTCTCTGCCTACTTGTGATCTCTGTCAAGTAAATAGATAAAATCTTTAAAAAAAAAAATTACTTTCCACTAAGTAAGATTTTCCACTAATAGAAGAAATTTAAGTTAAATGAGCAAGGGTCACGATCACATTTCCTCTTCCTGGTGCAGTCAGTGTGTACCTGGGTACCTGCCTCCGTATGTTCATGAAGGTGGGGCTTTCACCCAGCTCTGCCGCTGACGGGAAGCAGTTAGAGGAGCAGGGGCCTGCCTCAGGGCCGCCCACCCCCTAGTGCAGGGCTGTCCCCAGCCCGTCAGCAGGCAGCATGTGGCAGGGAGTAGCACGAGCAGGGATTCCTGCCCCTGGGGTGGGACAGGAGCCTGAGACGGGGAGGCAGAAGCCGGGAAGAGCATGGCTGTGCAGCCTGCCTGTCCCGTGAAGCTCCGTTTCAGAGCATGCATGGAGCCCCCTGGGGTTTCCAGAACTGTGTCCCATGCTTCTATTTGCAGCTGAGTCTCTGCACACAGGCATGGGCAGGGGCAGCTCCGGCTGCAGTCAGAGCCTTCCTCCAGGCACCTGCACCTGGGGCAGGGCTCTGCATGCCCCGGGTGGTGGTCAGGGAGGGAGAGAGTGAAGGGGTGGGGCCCTGAGCCTCTTTCTGAACTGGCCAAGGAGGGCTGCCATCGTCCTGTCCAGGTGTTTGTAAGGCTGGTGGAGTTTCAGTGACTGGCACTGGGGCTTAGAGTTCACTGCTTCTGCCTTCCGGCACTTCCGGGGTCTGTGGGGTCCAGAAGGGCGGCTTGCCCTGTTCCTGGAGAAGTTAGCTATCCCCCATTTCAGAAAGGAATAGTGTGTCTTCTCTTCCTTCCTGCGTTCTTCTCTCCCCTGAAAG